ATGTTAACATGTCAATATGAATATTCACATTGTAAATGGGCCGGGCCGGGCAAGAGGGCGGGTTTCGGGTCATCTACGGACAGCGAGCCAATTTTACACTCCTATCAATGTGAATAAACTAGACAGCAGCCTAGGGCGGGCCCGACTCGGCCCGGCCCGGACCGGCCCGGCCCGTTGACAATGTGAATATTTACATTGACATGTTAACATTCACATTGATAGGAGTGTAAAATTGGCTGCAGGACTGAATGGCCGGCCGGCCACCTTTTCTGGCTGGCCAGCCATTTACTTTTTACAAAACTGGCCGGCCAGCTATCTCTCTCCACAAAAATGGCCGGCCGGCTCCCAGGGATGGCCGGCAATGCTGCAGTGTATCTCATTGGCCCTGTTTTACCCTTTTGAGGAAAGTTTCAAGCATTCCCATGCAACGGGAGAGTCAAAGGCCTTCATTCCGGATGCGTTCCGATGCCCAGATCACCAGAAGTACACTCTGCTATCGTTTTGTTTATCGAGTTGTTGTTTTGATTATCGAGTTGTTGTTTTGCTTATCGAGTTGTTTGTCGAGCGGACGTGTTTTGTGTTTTTGAGTCTTTGCTCTCTGTTTAAGCAATTTTTGTTAAAGTCTTATTTATTTGCGTTGTTGCATTTTACTTATCGAGTTGTAAACTTGCTAAAGATTCTGTTATATCTTAGTAAGTCGAGTTGCTTAGTTTGTTGCGTCGGTTCACTACCTGACTTGGTGATTACACGATGCGCATTTCCATTCAATTTCATTCTTGTGCGAAATAAATTGATGCGATACGATGCTAAAAGTTTAAAATACAAACACCTTTTCAAAAGCTATTTCATTTCATCATGCTTTACAACAAACAAAGGTACAAGTTTTACAAAAAAATAAAACTGCCTAACAATGTGCAAAGTGCTACAAACTACTAGTAAAAAAGAAAAATAAAGTAGGAAATAGCAGCATCAAAGTCCTCGGGAGCGGGAACGAGAAGCACGCCTCATCCTCTTTTGCGGGACAACCTCCACACCATCATCTGAGTCGGAGCTGTCATCCTCAGGATCCCCCTCAGCCTCGCCTCTACTCCCCGAACCAAGACCGGAGCCCCCCTCCTCAGCAGATGTCTCTGACTGACGATCGGTAGCCTCCTCCTCCTCCTCAACATCCTCCTCCTCCTCATCAGGCTCCACCTCCACAACGTGAGCCCTGTGTCTGCGGACAGGCCCTCCTCGAGCTCCTCGAAAAGGCCTAGATGGCCCGGCTCCTCGGGAAGGCCGAGATGACCCTGCTCCCTGAAAAGGCCCAGATGGCCCAACTCCCCAAGGAGACCCAGGTGGCCTGGTCTGCGGCTGACCGGACCATGAAGGCATCTGAAAACAAAGAGTTCAATTCAAATACATCAGTCTAAATATGTACATCAGATGCAGATACAAGCAAAGGCTACATAAAGTGGGTGCATGTAAATACAGTGTACAAGTGGGGTGTGTGTCAGATGTGCTCTACACAAGTAGTCTATCGATGCAGTAGAAATCAGCATGTCATCAGAAGTATGATAAATGCCAGAAAACTGAAGGGTACCTGAATGCCCGCGACAGACAACTGTGCCTCCCTACGCAGGACCATGCCCTCGAGTGTGGCTACCAGTCCAACCACCTCCTCCATGTACCCTCGCGATGGCTGCAAAAATGAGCTCATAATTGTCAGTGAACAAAAGAGTGTCTAAACATCTGAATGATGAATGAAAAAGTGGAACATACCGGCGGTGAGTCCGGATCAATGGCGTATCGATCACTGGGCATCGGAGGCTCTAGCGGAATCGGAGTCGGGGAGATAGCCCCGTACTGCCACGCCATCAACTCAGTGGGCATATCTGGCCATCCGGGATGAGGATGAGTCGACGGAGCCGGAGGAACCGGTCTACTCCCGCCTCTAGATGTACCAGCCCTGCTAGTAGAAGGGGCGTCTGCAGCCCAAGCCCGAGCCTGGCCTGAGGATGACATACCGGCAGGCCTCATCATCGGGATATGAGCTCCCGTCAATGGAGGCATCAAATATATGTGACGGTAAGTGGCGTAGTCCCCCTCCTCAATATATAGCAAAGCATCACTGCCCAGCATGGCGCCGACTACCTCCGAGTAAGAGAGCCTGTCAGCGGTCCGCATACTAGCTGGGGGTACTGCGGGAATATCCTGAGAAAGATACCCCCATACCTGGCGCAGAAAGCGTTCCCCCAGGAACCAGGCCCTGCCAACCGGCCTTTCGAGCAGGACCCTATATTGGGAGATGTCCGACGCTCCGGTGTACTGAAGTCGGAGACCATCACCCAAACACACCCAGGGCTACCATGTGATCTGCAGATGACAAATGCATAAACCAATCAGAAATCGAGAATATACAAAGCAAATCAAAGATGAAAATGAAAAGAACTGAAAGTTCTGAAGTACCTCTGAATGTCGCACAGTGTCAAAGTACTGTCGCAGGCGAAGGAGGGTCTCTCGAGGTCTCGGCCGGTGCGGGCCCTCGAACATCAATGAATATGGGGTCATGGGAATCCCTACCACCTCCAGCTCTGGGGCTAATGATGGGAAGTATACATAGACCCATAGCTGAGAAAAACAGTGCAGAATGTAAGTACGAAATGCTGAGAGCAAAATACAGACTGTAAAAGTGCGCTGTGTGTGCAATGTACAGATGATGAAAAGCAGAAATGTAAATCAAGGGGACAGAAAGGTACCTCCCAGGCTCTCCAGTAGCCGCCAAGTAAATCGCCCCGCCCGCGGGAGGTCGCGCTCATATAAAAGTAAAGGGTAGCCAGGCCGGCGCCACCCCAGTCATATCGATGGACCTGTGATAGGTCAACTAGAGCGCTCAGCAGGTATAGCCCAACCGTGTTCCCTCTGTCGGCGAATAGGGTAGTCCCGAAGAGGAACATACGGAAACCACGGGCATACTGCTCTGTCTCCTCGGGACTCTCAGGCACCATCTCCGCCCGTCGGAAGTGGGAAGAAAACCAAGTGTATCGGACTCTCCCAGAGACCCTGTCAACGGGCGGGCGAGCCCCCAATAGGTACATCCAGGCGGCCTCCCACTCGCCCATATCCTCATCGTAGGGGACGGACCAACCTCCGACGTCTAAACCGGTCAATACAGCAAAGTCAAAAGGGGTCATAGTCATGTCCCCGGTAGCAGAGAAATGAAAGGAGTTGGTGGTGTCCCACCATCTCTCTACCAAGGCTGCCATCAGCGTCCTCCTGGCAGGACAACGTGACAACCCGATGCAGAAGGGTCCAAATCCTGCCAAGTCCACTAAGTCTCGGACGGCTTCCGGGAGCTCGGCGTACCAGTCCCGCGCGATGGTGGAACCATACCCTCGCACACTGCGGGAACAAACCTGCATTCAGAATGAATACATGTGTCAATAATGAAATGAATGGGCTGTGTGCCAATGGAATGAAATGGGCTACGTACCAATGGGATGAATGGGCTGTGTGCCGATGAAGTAAAATAAGCTACATGCAAATATCTACCTGGGCTGCGTGTTCAGAAAATTTGAAGTTTGGGCTGCGTGTTCAACTTTCAATTAAATTGTGGGCTGCGTGTTCACTATCTATCTGGGCTGCGTGTTCAGAAAAAATTTGAAGTTTGGGCTGCGTGTTCACTATCTAAATCTGGGCTGCGTGTTCAGAAAATTTGAAGTTTGGGCTGCGTGTTCGAATTTCAACTAGTGTGGGCTGCGTCTTCACTATCTAAACCTGGGCTACGTGTTCAGAAAAATTTGAAGTTTGGGCTGCGTGTTCAACTTTCAGTTAAATTGTGGGCTGCGTGTTCACTATCTACCTGGGCTGCGTGTTCAAAAAAATTGAAGTTTGGGCTGCGTGTTCAAATTTCAACTATTGTGGGCTGTGTGTTCACTATCTACCTGGGCTGTGTGTTCAGGAAATGTAAAGCGTGGGCTGTGCGTTCACTTTCAAATTCGGGCTGTGTGTTCGACAAATCAGTGTTCAACTTTCAGTTAAATTGTGGGCTGCGTGTTCACTATCTAATCTGGGCTGTGTGTTCAGAAGATGTAAAGCGTGGGCTGTGTGTTCACTTTCGAATTCGGGCTGTGTGTTCGACAAGTCAGTGTTTGAGCCGTGTGTTCACCTCTCAACTAATGTGTATTGTGCGTTCACAATTAATTAATGAGCTGAGTGTTCAGAAATTCAAGTGTTGAAACTACATGTTCAAGATGTAAGCAAAGTACTATGTCATAAGCTTAACTGCATGTTCAAAGCATGGCAAAGGTGCGAAATGTAAAATACAGAAGATGAAGTAAATACCTCTCGGGCCTCGTGAGAGAGGTGCTGCTCCGGCTCTCGGAGAAGCAGATCCCCGGGTGCCCGCTCATCAAAGCTAGTAAAGTGACGGAAGACAGCACGAGGGAGAACGTGTGCTGACGGATGGTACCTCCCGGGAATAAATGGTCGGGTCCTCGGGGGTAGAGTCATGGGATCGAAATCATCTCCGGCACCTGGAAAACCTCCACCGTGGGGAGAATTGCCCGCCATTTTCAGAGAATCTGCAAAAGGGAGCAACAATGAGCAAAATGGGCCAAAATTGCAAAAAGTCAACAAAAGTCAACTCTCGGGAAATGAAAAGTCAACAAAAGTCAACTCCCGAGAAAATCTTCCAAATATTGAGACAAACTTACCTCAAGTGGCGAAAATGCGAAAAGAAGCTCCGAAACCGAAATTTAATCGCTTCAAAGTGCTTGAAACTGAATGTTTTTGCGAAAGCAATTTGCGCGGGGCGTTGGAAAACGCGCGTGAAACTCAGATCTGGAGAAGATGTTGCATGCTAATTTCATCGCATCATGCTTGCATGTTTGCATAGCATTGTGTGTGCATGCCTTGCCTCCTGATCAAACATGATAGAGCTTGAGGTCTCTTATGTGATTTTGTGCATTCATCCCACATTGAATTGCACATTTGGCTCCTTTGGCCATCATGCATTGGAATGCATGATTGGTGGTCTGAGGGTCGACAACTACACACCTTTAATCCTTAAACATGATAAGGGGTGTAGTTGCAAACATTTTCTTGCAAATGTATTGCCATACCTCTGTTTGTCCTCTGCTGCAGCAAAATAACATTTTGCAGGAAAAGATGGCCGATCGGCTATCTGGTGTGCCGATCGGCTAAAAGTGTTTGGCTGATGACCTCATAAATGGTCGATGACACCTTTCCTTTGGCTGATGGCCCCTCAGCATGTCCATGAAGTGGTTCTAGAGCATCACAGGACTTTTCACAGTTTTTAGAGGTGCAAAACAGTGCAAACAGAGGCAACATGAGGCATGGCAATGGATTTCCGAGCGAAACTGATTGAGCATGCATTTGTCCCTCTTGTCAAGGCCGCTTTACTGTTTTTGTAGCTTAATTAATTTGTTTAATTAGTTAAGAGTTGTGTAATAATTAATTAGCTTGTTAGTTGATTAATTAGTCGATTTGTATTATTCTTTCGGACCCTCCGTCGAGATGGCGAATTTTGTAATAAGTGTGCGTGAATGTGTGAATGTCTTCCAACCCCACGTCTTTCCCCCTTTTACTTACCCGCTTATGATGGCTAGTTTTAGGGCATATTTCATTTAGCATCCTTATGCTATGCATGTTTGCATCATTCATCTGTATTGCATGCACGGGGCTCAGCGCGTCATACTAACTACATTGTATTTCAATTCCTACTTGAATACATGTATCGAGTTGTCGCATCTCATATGTCATCTTAGAATAGCCGAGCCTATTTCTAGTTGCATTTTGCATGTACCGCATTAGCCATCTTAACATGAACTAGGATCATGCATTGATTACTAACTAGTTCTTTATTTTAGCTCGGAGTACACTATAAGTGTTTATGCTTTAGCATCCTTGCATGTGTGTAAGTGTTGCCATGATAGCATGCTTGCCATGAGGCTATTTGCTTATGTGATATAACTGCCTGAATGCCTGTGGATGAAGGTTGGATTGCTTGAATTGGAACAATTCATTGAATCCTCGATTTAGCCTACTTGCGAGTAGCAAACTTCAAACCATTTTTCAAACAACAAATATGCAATGCTTTGTTCCAAATTAAGCGATCTAGTCTATACTTGTGTGTTGTGCGTATCACATACTAAATCTAGCTAATAACTGGAATAAGAACGCATGTGTTTTCAAAAACGAGATATCATGCTTAGTACAGGCCGATCTTTGATGGGGCGAGCGGGGGTGCTCATTGCATGACTGTAGACACCCCATTTTTGACCGACCTTAAGACTCAGACATCACCGATTGAGCGCTCGGTGACGTTGCATAATGTGCTCGTTCAGAAGTTTCAGAGTCACGGCCGTGCGCCCTGCCTCCGGACTTCCGAACCCTCTTCTGTGCCTTGCCTCGGTTTGCGAACCAGACTCGGTTTTCTCTGTTTCTTTTCCTGAGGGGAGAGAGAGGTCCTGTAGACCATCTCTCAGTGGCCGTGGGCTACATTCTGTGGCCGTAGGCCATTTTGCCCATTTCGGAGCCCGGTTTTCGATTTTCCGGGACCATCAGGCCGTGTGCCTCGGTTCGGGACCGCCTAGCCATCTCCGTTTGCTCTAAATTTTGGCATACATCTTATTTACTCCCTTTTGAGGGACACTGGGGTCTGAGAAACCCACTTCGAGGTCGAATGCCACTTTCGGTGCTTAACAGCCCATTTTCAGGACCCCGAACTACGCGTTTTGGCCCCCGAACATTCGTTTTGCATCGATTTTCGTTCATTTTTGGCAGGTACCTCTGTTTCATCACTAGGAAGGCCGTAGAAGGGTGGGAGGCCAGCAATTGTTGCAACAACCAAGTTATACGCCCTCCGGCGCCCTCCGACGCCCGTTTTTCACACTTCCGGGCTAATGTTGAACACCTTGGGGCCACTTTCTTGAACTTTGAACCACATATTTGTGATGTACACACATGGGAGGCCCCTAAAAGTTCATGGCCGGCCATTAATTAAACTTGACCCTTTTGACCCCATCCTTCCGGGCTAATGTTGAACCCCTTGGACCCTTTTTCTTGAACTTTGAACCACATATTTGTGATGTACACACATGGGAGGACCCTAAAAGTTGGTGGCCGGCCACTAATGTTACTTGACCCTTTTGAACCCCTCCTTCCGCTAACAGATAAGAGACTATAAGCAAACTTGGGAATTACCTGACCCTTTTGACCCCTTTCTTCCGGGCTAATGTTGAACCCCTTGGACCCACTTTCTTGGACTTTTAACCACATGGTTGTGTTGTACACACATAGGAGTACCTCCCCAGTTGCTGGCCGGCCAGAAAATCTCATTGAACTTTTTGACCGCTAGCCGGCCGGCTAGGGGGTGTGGCCAGTCGGCCACCTGCAATAAAAGTGATAGGCCGGCCGTGTTCCTTGCACTGTGCACTTTACAGCTGTGGGGCAATATCCCCCAGACAAGATATTTATCCGGGGGATATTTTGTGGGGGAGTTTTGCTCTCCTTTTCCCCCACCTTTACACCCCTTCTTTGGCCTATATAGCAAGCAAGTCTTGTAGTAAATTGGGGTTAGAAAAATTGCTCTTCAAGTCTCCATACTCAACTCCATCTCCATAGCTCTCATTTCTTCAAAAAACCCTAAGTCCCTAACCACCATTCCTTCTACACCACCAAGCTCTACCACCACCACCTCATTTCCAGCAATAAGGAAGGTTTCTCAAAGGCCAAGGAAGCTGCAAATTGGTCCAAGAAGCAACCAAAGCCTTAGTCTTCATGGGTAAGTAACACTTCTTCTCTTTTGACCCTTTTTCTTGATTCATTTGTAAGCCTCACTTGCTTTTTGTTTCAAGCTCCAGCCCTAACTGAAAAGGGCTCTCTTTTGAGCTCATCTTCACTTTTAATTAAGGGCTCAACCCTGTTTGAGCCCTCCATAATACACTTGCTTCATTGATCCTCTTATATGTCATGATTTTGCATG